TGTCAGCTGCGCATTAATTGCTGCATAGTTCACACCCATACAAGTGAAATGATTTTAGGATATCCTCAAGCACTTATACTGATTAAATTAAGAATGCAGTGTTAGCGTAAAACACACAAAGATTTTCTCAACATTGTCGAGAGCAGTTTTTTTATGAGTAAAAAATAATGAACTATTCAAGGATCCATTGACACTGGTTGTGATATCTACTTGCTTGCGAACATTGAAATAAAGCTTTTTTGGGTGTACAAAGATATGAATATGACGAATTAAACCAGAATTCAATAATGCCTTAGTCAAAATCAGTTTCTTATGATCCAACAACGGTATACAATCAGTCCTTACTTTCAATGTTAATAAAATAACAGAGGAAAAATATAAAAGAATAATTCTTTTGACTATATTCTATTTTTTAAAACGTAATTATAATATCTATTAGCTATACATGCTTTTAAGAAGAAAATTATTTATCATAGAAAACTTGTCAGTTTTGAAGACCCAACAAATTAAATGCCGGAAAATTTTGACTAATCTTGAGTTTATTAATCCATTTATCGATTTTTAAACCTCGAGGCTGATTTTTCCTTTAAATACAGAAAATGGAAGTCAGAAAAAAGCGGAATTAATTATCCATAATGTCATTAAGGTTCAGAGTTTCCAATTAATTCATTTTAAACTGCATAGTCATCGAACAGAGATAGCTCATGTCAGCTTGCAACTGTTTTGAAATCCTGTGAAATCAAGAATATATGAAATTGACAATAACTCAGATTCTTTTAAGAAAGTGCTCAAAATCAAAATACCGGAAAACTATGCTACAATGCATAAAAATGAATGCGAAATCAACTGACTCGTTAAACACTTGAACATATGTTTCTGTGAGAGCAAAGCAAACACTCATTTGAGTCACTAAAAATTAATTTCGATGGACAAAGCAATCATGGTTTTTATCGAGGGTAAATGAGAACTTTGACCACTTAGGCTGTGACTTTGTTAACCGCGTGGCATCAACCATGTCCACATGTCGAGGTATTTTTTTTAGTGAAATGAGTGACCAAACGAGGTCACCTGTTGTTAATCATGGCAAGCTAGCAACAGACGTCTTCATGACAGATGGTAGGGAGGGTGGGGGCGGGCAAACTGATTTATCATAACAAATTGAGGAAGGTTGAAGTGTTCAGTTCTAATTACGTAATCATTGAGTTATTGCCAATTAAATATCAACAATTTTAGCAGTTTTTTGATCAAATCAAATACAGTTGCTTGAGCGGAAACTTTCAAACCTTACTATTTGAACATTCTTTCACACCTGACTTTATTCCCAATAACCATGAGTTTCGTTAGAGATAATTCATGTACATCATGTTATTCCACGAAAAAGGACATTTGGAGTACACAAGTAGACCAAGCAACATCATGCGATCTCAAACATTCTGGAACGTGCGGACGTGTTTTGCTGATCACATTAGAGAGCAAATGTGGTCACAAGTGCAGAGACCTCTCTGTCAATAAGCAACCAATTGTCATTACGGGGTCAATGTAACCAAAAGAGTATTTAATGATTCGCCTCCATGTCAACAACAACAACACACACACACACACAACAAAAATCAATGTGTTCCTCACCATTATTGAGGCTCCTTACCTACCTTCGGGAACCAGTCTGCATATGGGATCTTGCCAGAGAGATTATTGGGGATAAGCCAGGGCTAATTCATGCAGTAATCTGCTACAGACACAGTAGCTTTTTTAACATTGATATGGATAATAAAATTAGACACAATATTAATCAATGCTAAAGGCGAATAATGTGACTAGCGTTTTCTAATCAATCTTTTTCTTTGAAATTATACTCCTTCAAAATGGAGATAATTTCTTTTTGATCTTTCCGACTGGACATAAATTGATTAAGTAATAGTACAATTGAAGTTGTTACGCACAAAAGAACATTGATGGTAATTACTCTCGGTTTTAGGAATTCTGTCAACTTGAAGTCCTTTGCTTTAATGAACAAAAAGTATTTAGAGAAAGTTTTCTGATTATTTGCATTTTTAGAAACGAAATGACTGCCCCCAAAGTCTCCCTAACGTGAACTTAAGACGAATGAAAACCTCAAAAAACCTAATTTTTTTTCAGTATGGACCGTTTTTTTTTCTCATATGATTGTCACAGAAAACCAGTAAGAGCATTAAATTTATTGCAGAGTGAAAACAGGAGTGGCTTTTCATATGAGGCGCATAAATTTGCACTGTACTTAAAGTTGCGCGAGTTTTATCGAAAATCTTTCTAATAAAATATGTCTATTTGAAATAAAAAATTTTACAAAACGATAAATCTCACAAACGGAGAAGAAAAGCGATATGATATTATTGTGAATACTAATTTTATCACACTATAAAATGTACTTCGTGTGGAATTGTCTGAACTCAGGGGTGGAAATCAAATTTGCTGAATTATGTGTAAGCAGATGAATTGGTAAACTTTCAGAATAGAGATGAGTTTAGAAATAACCTTGAGATGTTTGGTGCTTGGAAACACAATGGATTTCATATGCTCTTTACCCCCAAGGCTAGCCATTTATGATTTGTTTCCCTGCGTTCATGATGAATTCAAGATCTCAATTATCAGAACTGGTCGAGATGCTAATGACTTTGGGTGGTTGATCATAAAATTTCTGTACATCATCTCCTCCAATAGCCAAATTGGTGGGAGGGGGGGGGGGATTTGAATACTACCACACACGTTTTCAACACAACAGAGCTCAATATAGATAGCATATTCCTGAAATCATGAACAAATTACACCTTCGGGTCCCTATGGGGAGGAAATAACATTTTGCTATCCGTGACTTGAGGTATCTCCACTAGCCAATCAGTTTATTGTGTATCAGTAAACTTTGCATTATTCATTATATCATTGGGGGGGGGGGGGGGGGGACGTTCGTTTCTGGTGCCTTTCTGCTTAAACTTCTTCTGAGTCCTCATATGCCAATGAGAGCCGTAAATAAGCGTTCTACAAAGCTATAGCCAGGGCACATTGACCAGGACAGTGTGAAAGACTAGGATTGGGAATAGGAGGGGATAACATGGCATATATAGACAAGCATACCTATTCGCGTTCCTATTGCCGTAAATCTCCATTTTAAGGAGGCTCGAATTCGAATTACATCATCTCCATTGCTTTCAAATTGAACAACCGACCAGCTTAAAGGGGTTGGGGTGGGGTATCTATTATTTCCTGATTCGTCCGGAAATCTCATTGTCATTGCCTTCAGGTTAATTATTAATTTGTCATATTAATCGTATTTGCATTGAAGTTCCAATATTAATACTCTCATTTGTATTGGATAATTGATTAGGAAATTGACACAGAAATTTGCAAATGGAAGCACTCCAATCATGTTTGCCGTTGAAGTTTACGCATAAGTTAAATTTATGTCATTTAAATAAATAGCAAGAAACAGTTCACTATAATGCTAATACTGACTTTCCTTGGTTTTAGATTATTAACTTATTTAAAGAGGTGTCACTTGAGCCGCTACATTTTTAAAAAGTTATTTTTTTGCATTTCTATTAGCACAAATTTTTATTTGAAACAATCGTTAAGTGGCCTCCGAGTTACCTTTCCAAGTAATTTGACTTCAGACTGAAATAGCTTTGAAATCGGGGTAATAATGTCAAACTCTGCCAATCCAAAAATTTTGCAAATATATCAAAACGAGTTGCCCGATGACGCAGTAATCCACAATGAAATTTTGTAATGGCGAGTCTGGTGTTTCTCGTCGCATTATTCGAACTGACAATCAATGCTGGTACAATAAAAGGCTATTAATTCCTAAGAACTGCGTAACTACGAAACAGTATCGAGAGAGCGAATATCCTCTTCTTTAAAACTATAGGTGGTTTAAAATTTCCTGTGAATTTGGTGGAATATCAGATTCCTTTAAGCCTAGTTTTATTGTAAAGCAAATATTGCTCATCGATAATTAGAGATATTTAAAATATGTAGTTACTTGTTAAATAACTTCACCTAGAAAAGAGAAAAGGTGCTGCAACTCTCGAATGACCAACGAGAACTTAACGACTATTGGGAAATAATCTGATTGATTTTCAATAAGCTCCTTTTATGTTTGAATTTTATGTGTCAGCATTAACCTAACAACTTCGTGGATATAAGGATTCATTTCGTGAATAATAATGATGGTTAAATAGACACCCCCATTCAAACAACGTACGGAAAATGACGTAATGTAGTGAAATTCATAGAACATACCCTGTGTTCAAGGTATAAAACTTCGATCGATTCACAGATTGCTGAAAAAGTTGTGACACTCAATACCAAAGCCGAAATGATGCAGTAACCTTTTGAAATAATCAAGCCCGTAAATTATACCGAAAACTGCTTCACATCTACGAGTAATGCACAAAAAATATATTTGGATCAATACAATTAAAGCTTTCGAAGAATTAAGTTAAGATTTGACAACGAAAAGACGATATGTAAAAAGAAGACTGAAAATTCTCCTTTGGCAAATTTTATCATTTACTAATTGTCACAAAATGTAAATAAATATGCTAAAACTCTTAGAGTGTGACATTCAATCAACCTTTAAAGTTACCAAGAGAACGTTTGTGGATCCACGACAAACGCCACATTTGTAGTATGTCAGCATATTTAAACCCATTTCTTCTTTTTTACAGTATAAATTTTAGAAATACGACATAAATTTGAAAATTGATAGCTGATGATAGCACAATGTCAGATTCTTGTTGATTCAAGGAAGATTTCTTCTTTAATGTTCTACAAATTCTTAAATGACACAAATGCCTATACTACTAAATGTTTTTAAGTAGAGCAAAATTTTCAAAACGAGGGCTTTATTTACAGGGCTTGCAATTAGGAGAGGCAGAGGACAAGGTTGGATTGAATGACATATAAAAAAGCGATTCAAAAGAGGCGACACATAACATGACAGTAGTAAAAAGTCAGATACGGGAGACCTAGAATGCACATCTAGTACGCATGTCCTCCAAACGCTTAGCAATGTCCGTGGGTGTCTTGTCCATCTCATCGGCAATATCCCGCTGCTTATCCGCTTCCAACGCGTTAAACATCTCACAGAGATCACCATCGATTACATTCTGCAATAAAAACCACGAGTTAGTGATTCTAAAACAATCACTGATTGCACACTGAATTTGCGATAAATGGAAGTAGTACCTTGCAAGGATAGTAGAGTGATCGATAGTGTAGATGATCCCGACCAACGAGGGAGATGTTTTCTGTGCGCATATGAAGCTCAAGATGTTGGAAGAAAGAATAGGCGTCCTTGGAGACGAATGGAATGAGAATTCCAAGGGATCCTGATAGTGTGGAGTATACTAATGCTTCAGAACCACCAGGAATAAGAGTTGCCTTTTGGAGACGGGTCACCACTTCACCGACGTAGAAATGACATACCATCTAGAAAAATATGAGCTTATATATGCAGATAAGTGGTCGTAACACCAAATACATCAAGGCGGAAAACGATTTTAAACTGTAAAGTTATGTCGGATAAATCTGTTATGCAACATCCAAGTGGTTTATAAAGTTTCAAAACTCACTAGTTCCGTTCTAATGATTTTAAACATCAGAAATAATAACTGAATAAACGAATTCACGCCTTGCATATTCAGTACGAAAGTGAATAAAAATGACTGCTTTCCATTGCATCAACAGGAACACTTATTTTAAATAAATAATTTTAAAATATAAGGAACGACGTAAAATGAAAATTTCAAAACGTTTGAAATCAATCGTAGAATAGTACTAGAAATACTAGGATTGAATGATCCCCATTTGAGCATATTTCTACAATAAGGAAATAATCATTAAAAACCACTTTATGCAAACTAGAGTCGATTGGTTGTCAGGTTCACGTTAACGCCTGTACGTGGATTTATATATTTAAAAAAGGTTGCTCATACACAATCTATGGATAATAAAAAAACAAGCAAACACGTCAATCAGAACGAAATTCGAAACGAGATTAAAACAAGAAATTAACACAAATGTCAGTTTCAAAATATTTATAATTGTATTCTTATCCACGGATATGACATTGCCCGTAGAGGCACTGAGGATAGACATGTTGGAGATAATGGCAAGTAGATGCTTTAATCGTGTAAGTGACAGTAAGCCATGAGTTCGAAAAGTCCATACCGACACTAGGTGGTTGAAAGTGTATATGCATTTCATTTAAACACGAAATTCAGTTAACCTTCAACTCATCATGAGTCAACCCTGGTGACCTCTGTTATATACACCCCTAACTTCCTAAAATTAAAATACAGCATTCTAGCGGCGAATCATTGCCTACTCAAATTAGCATCTCTGCAATCTCATAGTTGAGGTAGACATCGCCACCACCGAATCTATTGAAATCGATTAATCATACTATTAGACGAGAGGGGGAACCGAACAGAGCACTATTTGAATGCTCGTGTTACAAAGTTGTATGGACAAAACAGCTTTAATTGCAACTCGAATCGATTTCAGATTATAAATCTCCGAGTTTCACAATCCGCTTCCTTTTTCCAGATGAACTTTACATCGAAAGTTATAAATTTCCCTTATGAATCACATACATAATGACTATAGAATTTAAACAATCACAAGATACTAGATCAGCATAATCTATTAAATAATTTTAAGAATTACATTCAATTCTCAGAAAAAATTTTAATGAGGACATATGAGTTAGAACACAGAGATCAACGGAGACGTGATAAAATAAATATTGTCAATAGCATAAGTCATCATAGAAGACAATAAGAAATTAGCCTAGGGGCTATTGAAATCACATTTACCAAACATGGGACCCGTAAATCTGCATGTACACACACAAAAAAAATTAGTTGAGGCAGCTTCAAGGGAATGATAAACAGCTGTATGATGAGCAATGACCAGTTTTAAAAACAAATCCTATCAAGAGAAACTATCTATGAATTCTCGGCAAAATTTTAGTCTCCTTCATTCAGTAAAGAAAATTTAAACTCACATCCAACTTTTGACTAGCGCCACCCAGTGCATTTCGATCCCACAGGGAACGCGTTCCACTTGGATCCTCCTCCACATTGTCATTGACATTAGGAGGCAAGCGAAGAATTATGATATTTCCAAACTTATCAGCCACCGCGGCTGTCGAGTTGTCCAAAATTGCCAGCTGAGTGACCCAACGTGGACTGGCATCATCGGCAAATATCACCAGCTGAATGTCCGCCCGCGGTTTATATCGAACCCAAAAGAGGCTCTCTTGCACATCAGTTACAATGATACGTTGACCGATTGCGTAGATCCCGTTGATTAGATTGGGGAAATGCTGAAATAGAAAAAAAACGGGTTTTCACAATAGACTATTCAAGGATAAGAAAGTAAGTAAAGTTGGCAGCAAACGAACTCTATTTTCACTCTTTTTGAGCAGTTTCTTCTTGCCCATATCATAGAGTCTCAAACGATTGCCAATACCGGCTAGAAGACGTCCTTGATAGGCACATAGAGCTGAGGGATAGTCTTCGACAGGAGTGTCGTGGACGAATTCTAGACGGTCTCCGGTGGGAGTAGTACGGTAGGTACGTAGAACACCATTAGTGCAGCTACGAGGATTAAGTACCAGATCCTTCGAGATGGCCACGATCACAAAGTACTCGCCAGGACTAATAAACAAACAAACATTTAACATCCCGAAGAAATTAAAAAATTAGACTTGAGACGATTTTTAAAACATGAAGTTGGATGAGATTTGCGTGACTTATATTAGTGATAAGCCGAATAACCTAAAGGCAAGATCAAAGATTCCTGTAAAACGATTAATACTAGGTAGACAGACGAATCCAAGAATTTTGTTTAAATAAAGAAGGATATTGGCAAGAAAAGTTGGAATTGCAGGTACACTTATTGAAATCTAGTTAATTTTTTTTGCTAAAATTATATAAACGAGTGTTATCTTGATAAGACCCCTAGTCACTCAAAAAATATAGCAATACTGACAAACAAACTAAAGTAATCAACTCATCAAGTAAGCTCTTGATCTCTTGCATATTAACTCGTTCAGAAAACCAGGGAAACATCTAGACATTTGGCTTTAGAAATGACCAAGTAAACTGAAACTAAATAAGAACAAAAAATATTTGGAATCTGGCACCCTGAGTTGAAGAAACCGGCACTGTCAATACTAATTAACCAATCAGCCAATATCCTATTCTACTAATAAGCAAATTAATTTCCTAAATAGTAAGCCTCTGTTTGAGTTACTAGTCTCCATTCCATAAAGTTGGAAACTGAGCAAGCTATAAAAGTATAGCTTGAATCGAAAATTCTATCCCATTGCCTCTCCTACAACTTTAAGATCTCTCATAAGCAGACACTTCAACAACTATAAACTGTACGTTTTCCAATATACCATTTTTAACGAGTGGTTCGAAACAGGCATAAACTCTATTTGCCTCAGGTTTAGTTCTAAATTCAAATGATTGCACATTTTATCTCTGCATCTCTCCCATTGAAAAATATTTACCAATACGAACAGCCATTCCAATCAATACATGTTCACAAATGGATATTGAAGGCGTAGAGGACAAATTACTCGCCTGCTATTAGATTTTCATTGGTAATACTTCAGCAAAAGAAATTTTCTACTAAACTGGTTGAACCTGATCAGAATGCGCTAGAATATCACTCTAATGAGTGCAAGACAAAAATTTAATTAAAAAGCTTGATCTGTGATAACTTTGCACGTTGGTCGAAATGCTATTGGCGCAGAGAATGGTCAAACTTACCGATTAGTAAACGTAGCCATAGTGATAGCATGAGCCGCCTCATTCTGCGAAAATGCGCAGAGCTGCAGTGTCTCCCCATTGAGAGGATTGAGAATACGAAGAAGACTGGCCCACATACCCGGCCCAGCTTTAGGAGCACCGAATTGATCCTCAGGCAATGGACGAGACAAAAATTCAGCCATCTTTTCCTTTTCATGCACATCAGTCTGAGCAGCCAATAGACGCTGAACGAAAAATGAAATCAATATAAAAGAATTAGGTAACATAACATGAATAGGAATCTGCTTACATCACCCATTTCCTTTTGTCTTTCCTCCTTAACATCATCAGTGTAAGCGTTGTGATCCGTTTCAATGATGAAGGCATTGTTAGACTCAGGATGGAAAACAAAACGACGTGGAGTATATTTGAGAAGGGTGCTATTCTGATTAAACACAGCTCCGAGTTTCTCCAATGCCAAAATTCTAGACGAAGAAAGCGATAAAGGCTTAGGAAAATCATTTGCGTAGCACTCCCAAATATAATTCAGTCAAAACCTCTGGTAATAAAAAACTTAGAAAGTGGCTAACATGCTTCGGCAAAAAGATGTGTTAATACAAATGCGAGGACCTTAAGCATTCATAAAAATGAGAAAATGTAGACCAAAGAATGTTGCCAATCGATATTACTTTGATTTAATCCCTTTTGATAGAAATTAGAATTTGGCTTTCAATATTTCATTAAAAATTTGTACTGAGGACTAGTCTAGCTCTAATAAGCCCTATTAACATAGAAATCCGCATGCGCGTAAAGAAAGCATTCATGCAACCACTGTTCTTATTCAGGCCCTTCCGGATGCACGCTTTCCAAATCCAAGGTCAACGCTGGTCAGTGCGATGAAGTGAAGGAGTTTCCGTGAAAACAATTTTTAGAATTATACCGAAAATGGGAAATAGCTAAAACGATTCAAAAAACCCTCTTTTCAATGTACAGATATGTGAAAGTTATGCAACCCTTTGTCAAATTCGTAAGCTTAATACGATCTTTAAGTAACTAGAATTGGCATAAAGAATTTGGATTTGCTGATATGATGACAGTACATCGTCACGGATAAAAGTGTCCGTAGTAACCTATACGACGTAGACTGTTCGCAGAAATACGTAAAGGCTGTGTTAACTTAGATTTAGAAGACCTGTGGCTCAAACCACAATTTTCCTTTTCCACATTATTAAAGAAACACAAATAGAGCTAATTACTTGGGTGGCAAGTAATGCCCAAGGTATTCCCACATACGGGTATGAAAGAATAGTAATTGGAAAATTCAATACATGGAAAGTCTCACTCATTGGCATGGACATGGAGAATATTCTGTCGCGTAACAGATAACTAGTTTCTTTTCATTTGAAGGCATTCATTGTGAATTGGTTCACTTATATTTTTACGAAATGAATAAGATCAATATAGGTGGTGGAAGGTTAAAGCCTTAAAGCCTAAACGCGAGAACAATTTATTAACTTTTTAGAAACTTCTTTTAGGTAAATGACTCCAAAAAATTGGAGGTTTTGCTGTTTAATCCAAGGTATTCTGTGTTCTGAAGGGAAATAAAACCTAGTAGACTACGTGTGTAAACATTTGAAAGTGATTTAAATATTGATTGTTAAGTATTATTATTGAATTTGAGATTTATAAAACGGAACTTTAGAACCATAGAAGAGAAACATTTAATTGTGTTATTGATTAGATAGAGAATATTTTACAACAAAATGATATAAACCGATTGAAATCTAGCATACCTCAAGGAATTTTCGCAGATTGCAACAATGCCTTCAGGACACTGTTCCGAGGAGAAACCAGAAGCATATTCCAGAGCCTCATAGGAGAGTGGAATGATATGGAACCGGCTCTGATACATATATGAGAGCCATGAACGACTGGACACTGCAAGTACAGCCTCTCCCCCTTGCATAGATACCCGGAATAGTTTTAGAGGACTGGCGCCTAAATAGCGAGTACGAGTATCCGTGAGCTCTCCAGTTACGGGGTCAAGTACGACACGGAAGAGGACACCATTGTTGAGACCGATGTTGAGGTAGATGATCCCACCACTACTGTTGCCCCCATTCTCGGATTCACTGGCTCCCATCTCAACAATACAAAGTGATTCTGCGGCTGTTGGAAGACCTTGCATGGTCAACGGTGTAAGACAATCCTATGAGGAAAAAGGTAGTTTAAATACGGCAAAACAAATAGTTAAAAACTTCTGGTGAGCTCCTCAATCATGAAATCATGCTATCTCATGTCTTCTACTACAATATCAGTTTAAATGATCGGAATGACATAACCATCCATTCTGAAAAATAATTCATGAAAACGGTCAAGAAACCAGGGAATAAATCACAAAGAACCCAATATTTAAACTTCATCAATTTCGGACGTTAGTGGAATTTAGCCTCTCCTGTGAAATGTGGAAATACACACATCCACAAATTCGTTTAAGGCAGGGAATAAAACTGACCGTAGAGAATCATGCTTCAGACTGAGATCCTCAAAGATTACGTTACCTTCCTCTCAGTAAGTTTTATAAAGATATATAGCTCAAGATCCACGTCTATTTCTTTATCACTGATAATACAATTTTGGTCAAATGGAACAAAAAAATATTAAGTCACTTTTCATCAAATATTCGCCATCAAACTTATTCGAAACTGGTTTGAGTCGTTAACCCGGAAGCAATCACAATTTAAGATTGATTAGCACCAGCCACGATCGTCAATACTAAATTAGCTTTACGAACGTTGTGGAATTTCAAAACTATAAAGGGCAACATCAGTTTCGACGCAATTCATGTCTTCGCCAAGGTGTTATAAATTTTCTCCCCTGTCTAGCGTTCACCTAATAGCCTCTTATTCCTAGTGACTTATGTAAATCAGAACTTACGGATGGATCCAGCGAAAGAATCCTGACGGTATTATCAGCAAGACCAACAGCCAGGAATCTCGAGCGTTGTTCGTTCTGCGGGATACGTCCAAGAGCCATACAAATGACATCAGCAGGCATCTCCTTCCTTTCCGTGTACTCATTTAACTGTCCCGTGGCATCCATTTCAAAGTATACTAATTCACCCCCGGTCAGAGCAATAACCACTTGTCTACGATTCACCGCACATCTTTGAATAATCTTCTTTCCAGGAGTACGCCATACATTGATTCGTTTATCTGCTCGAATGTGACGAATACCGTCGGGGTAGATTTGGACCAGAGCATCATCTCCTAGCTGAGAACAAGTCAGGGTTGGTGTAGTACCCAAGAATCCAGAATCTGTTACTTCTTCGACAGTTTCACCGATAGAGAGTACTAGAGTTGCATTAACGAATGAGACCACAATGAAGGAGTCGTATTCCTCTTCAGAACTGCGCTTTACCGTCCAGACAGCATTTGGACTACCTGGAAGATCAGATTTCGCCATTTCTGTAACCTCTAAGCCATGCCTGAGCAGCCTAAACGTCGATCTTGGCCCACGACCACAAAGGACTGCCATTTGGGGAGTGTCCTCATTAGCCAAGTCGGCAACCTAACAAAATGTCAAGTAATTAAATTGAATTTACGTGTAGATCGATGATAGGAGAAAGGCTCTCCAGAGTATCCACCTCGACTAAGTTTTTCAAGGGACGAGGAGTGAAGTAGAACGTGTCACCTTCCTCGAGAGGCATAGTTGATGAAAATTCAGGCTCGTCATCATTATCAGCAAGGTGGGCAATTTGATAAAGATGACTAAAATATAACATTGCATTAATTTCACATTTTAGACTGCTTAAAATAGTCATTGTGATAGATCATAACTAAAACTACTTTTGAGTCAACAAACGAGAAAGGGAGGTCATAAGATTTGCATACAATTAAGCTTTTACCTCCAGTATTGGAGTCATAACGAAGACTACATATTGCAAGATTAAAGTTGCCTTAAAGCAAGAGGGGAGAGAAAAGTATATTTGCCTCAAGGCGCCCCATTAACCTCAATATAAAAACATAATTTGAAAGAATGGGGAAAAGAAGATAACACTTCTGTACACTCGAAATGAGAAGATAAAAAGATTGATCTTGACTGTTAGCACCCAATTCCGGCTTCCTAATAGAGTATCAAAGGCAGGGGCGGCGAAATGTCACTCTCAATGCTGACATCAAATGCAAAACGATAGGCTCGTTGGGACAGTATAATGCGTGCCAATTTCCACAAAAAAGAAAACACTTTCTATTAACTACTCAAGGGCCCTATTCTAATAACAGAGGTAGCAAAAAGAAAAATGCATTTTTAAAACGTTAAAATTTCTTCGACATTTAAATGATGCATATGAAACTAAAGTAATATAATTACCGCCGACATCGGCAACTCTTTCCTAAAGATCTAGGAGGTTTCGAGCTCTCTTTTGAAAAAAAGATAGCAATATGATCACTGCGAAAAATCGAAAGCTTCTTCTTTCTTCACGCCTGAATACAAACTGAACAAAAACACTTTTCGCTAAATGTACGATATCTTACTGGTAAACCTAATATAACATAGACTACACTGCTTCATTTCAAATCAGTGTCCAATATAATAGCATCAAGTAAAAAAACGATTAACAAAATGAATATAAATACAAGAACTATTATAGTAACAAATAAAAATGCATACTGGTTTCCAAACTCCGAAGCGACAAAAAGGAATCCGGTCTTGAGTACACACATAGCTGTTGCCACCGGAACAGTATCAAAGTACTTTAAACGTATTTCAGTAACAGTTTCCTTATCCTTTTCAAGGTTTATCTTGAATATATCACCCTGTTCTGTTTGCACAAGGAAGAAGAGGACTTTCTTTGTTCTGTGAGTAGCACTGCAGACAAACAGGATACCTCTATCAGGATCATCAAGATCATTGTGTCTTTGGGGAATGGGACAACGAATATCTGGTTCGTCACCAAAATTCTTATAAGTGATGTAATTTTCGGAGCAAATAAGGATACCAGAATGTACCTCATTACCACCGGGTACTGTGATCAAGAAGTTTGCATGCTCTTCCAGTGGTTCTGAGTACTTCCTAACGACATGATTTAAACCAAGATCCAATTCATAATAGGTAAGCAGCTGGTGAGCCGATCTTGCAGCTTCACCAGTTGGGTCCTGATCAGCTTCCTCGTAATCCATCTCAATACATGCAAAGGTGGGATTTTCAAAACCAACATCTACACCAACAATGTGATATACAAAAGTGTTTGATTTATGAGCCTCAAGTGGAGACGAAATAGTCAGTCTAGCTTGCGAATCACGGTTCATAACGTAAACTAGCTTCTGTTTTTCAACAGCTCCGACCATCAGAGCTCGTCCTTTTGGGTCAACTGCTAAATATTGGCCAGGAATTATACGACGACATCCACTTTTCCCATAGGTCTCTTGCTGGATTTTTTTAAAAATATTCTTTGTGGGAATATACTCTAGCACAACAATTCGACCAGAATCAGAACCAATAACGATATAATCTATGTAAACGTAGTAAAATTCTAATTATATAGCAAACCTTTCGAGCCGCCTGTTAAGCGGAACGGCATGATAGACCGAATGATGCCAAAAACTTCCGTAGAGAGCAAAGTAAACAGTTTACCAGAGGCTGGATCGACACGCATTATCTCAAGTAACTTTCCCTTCGCAACGACAATTTCTTGTTGCTTTGTTCCAGAAAAGCTACCGGTGATGGCATGAGTAATGCCTGAGGCCTTTTGTAGGCTTAGATTATACAAAAACATATTTTGCAAAAGAAGTGTGATCTAAGCGCGAAAATTTAAAAACGCACCAGTTCTCAGTGATCGTTCAAACAGCTATTTTCAAATTGTGTGTACGATGCAAAAATCACTTAAGTTTCCTTTGTATATTTGAAAATTTTTAAATTTGCTTTAGTTTAATCTACCAGGATGTTTCAATCAGAAAGCGCTTGAAGATGAGATGTATATTCTTGAATGTGGTCGAATGTCATAAACTAGTGCTTTCCTCCTGCTGATAAATGTTAATTTTTATATAATATTTCCCTAGAATCAATCGGCATGATTCTTTATTTCAAATATTTTTTTGGAATAGTTAGAGCAGCAAATTAACAAAAAATTTCGACGCATTTATCGTAAAAGTTCTGAATTTAATCATTTAAATGTGCACTGTAAGTAGCAGCAGTATAATTTTCCTGAATATTTAAATATGGTCAAGTGAATATTAAAGATTCAAGCCTAATGTAAACCACAAATGCTTATGGTAATTTACAAATTCCACCCTATGCCACTTAGATTTAAAAATCAAATTTCTGTTTCAATCTGATCGACTCATAAATAGACTACATTTTACATACCAATCATGGTTTTTTCTCGATCACCACATGAAGCACAATAATTTACCTATAGTTATTTTATTTAGCATTTACATGTAAATTATTCAACTTGAAGTTAAATGTCAGAAAACGTTTTCTTTAAAATCTATAACATCACAGACTCAGAGTGTGGAAATCTGATTTCATTGATTACAAAACCATTATTTTTATAATATTGTGGCAGCAACAATTGGAAATGAAAATCAGAAAGCATAAAATGTCACGAGAATAAATGGTACATTAAAACCTAATGATTTTGACATTTACTTGGGCCATAAAATTTATCATTGTGATTATTAAAGAAGCAGTATGTGCTGCTAGGAATGCATTCACTGTACTATGCGGCGCAGCATCTATTGACAATAAAGATAGACTATAAAGTCAGGCTATTTCAGCGTAAAGGTACCTAGAAGACTATCGCAAATAACTATATTCTCTAAACCAACTTACTCTATAATTGAGAAAATTCATAAAGTTATAGAATATGAATTCATGCATCTTTTGTTCATTTTATTTAATAACGTTATTTATAAATAAATGTGCTTAAATAAAACGACGACATCTTTTTCCCCTGTCAGACGTATGCTAATAGAATAAGTTCAATAAAGTTTGAAATAAACAGATACGATAGTAGTTAGTTGATCAATATACCTTCCAGTTATAGCATTAGGGCTCTATCGGACCGGTATGATTAAATGAACTATTTACAGATTCTAACAATCAGATAAATTTAATAAGTAAACTGACATTTATTGAGTTTTAAAGAGAAATTTGTAGCGAAATAGTTTTGTCTAATTATTTATTATTATCAATTTGTTTATAACCTTTCAACAAACCGGCTACATTATAATAAATCAGGCCCGGTTTTTTATTGGCCAATTAGATATGTCACGAAAAAGTAAGTAATTGAAGTTTCGTTACTTTTGTTTCAGGAAGAAGGGGTGTTTTTCGGAGCTCTGAGTTAGGTGGACGAGATATCGTCCGAAAGGCACAACTTTACGCTAGAAAGAATGCACTAACCCTCCCTAAGTTTGATCTCGAACGTCGTGAGTTCCATATTTTCTCATTATTATTTAATATTTAGCCCCTCTTGTTGTTCCAAAATATTGTGTAGTTAATGGTTGCGACAGCCGTGGCCATGTTGACGGTATTCGTAAAAATCACATAACACTATCTGGCTGTCCTCGTTTTCATAACCAGCAATCCTCATTCTACCAGGAACTTGCTAGTAAAAATAAACAATTTAACGGTGACCATTTTGATGCTACTGATAATATTACTACAGGCAGACAATATGTCAAGGAAATGGAACCATTTTATGATGATCTAGGTACCGCTGAGGATCTAGATCTTTTCAGACGAGCTCAGCAAAAACTTGTTACGGATAAAGTAAGTTTTAAATCTCCACTGACCATTGCCTGAGCATGCCATCTATATATTCCTTTGTTTTATAGTCCAAGGAAGTCCATGAACACATAATGATTTTGTCTAATTTGAAATCGGACAGCCATGTGGACACTAATTTGTCTGATTCTAACGGTCCTTTGGACCCTCCTCTCTTTACTGAAAATAATGTAAAGGAAATCGTTATTGGTGATTGGGAAATGAAGACTGTTTACTCTAGTGCATTTCCTCCCAATATTGCTTGCCTTCCACGAATCTACATATGTGAATTTTGTCTCTCTCATATGCCGTTTCTTGTTGGATATCGTAGACATCGCGCAAGTTGGCTTATAAATTGATATTTTTTATGGCATTCAAATCACAATTTTATTTTTTTTGTTATTTTAAACAGCTTCGGTGTAGACGTAAATTTCCTCCCGGTAATGAAATTTATCGTAAAGATAAATTTTCCTTTTTCGAAATTGATGGCTTTTTGGAAAAGGTATGTTTGGTTTTATGGTATGTTACGTTCTGTGAAATTGTAGTTAGGGAGATGGTTTGAAGATTGTTTACTTATGTAACCTAATTCTTTAACATAATTTTTCATTTTACTGTTATTTATGACGATTCAATAATTGCAATTTCATCTTATAGAGGAGCATTGAGTTGTGAGAAACTATATGGTTATTTAATAAAAACTCAAATGGCGGATATTTCGAAGAAAACTACGAGTTAGTCTTCCTTAAAATTTGCTAAAATGTATATTCATTTGGGAATTTACTAATCAACTTTTGAAATTCGATCCTTGAAACATAAGATCACAACCCCGTGAAACTGTATCTGCAAAATACAATGTAGTTGCTAATCTCCTAATGAAATGTCCTTATTCCATTCGATTACTTTTATCTTTTCACTAATTTCTTGGTTTATTCAATATTTATTAAGTATTGTGAAATGCATTGCTTAGCCACGAGTAAAATACTCATATTCACCCTGATTTATTTTTCCCATTTAAGCGCTCTTGCATTTCAAATGTATTTCTTATTTTAATGTTGTATTATCTGAGTATAGTCCAGACTGAGTGGCTCTTTTATGATTTTTAATTAACTATTAATATACCCACTGGCTTGCATGGAGTCAGACTCGTACAAGTACGTTAACCCTCTAACGCCCTTAGGATCGTACTGACCTCTTGCAAAATAAGATCCATTGGTACTAGAATCGTAACAGTAGGTACTATTTCCGTTTGAAACATGATCTGCTTGATACCACCAAAACTCATCACGTCAACAGCATCAGTCTGTTGTGGGTCACTAGTGAGCTCGGTCGAGCGCATTTTCAAAAAAATAATTCGGTTGTTAAAGGATTATGTAAGTAATTGCGAGAGTTGAAAAATTATTTAGCTTGAAAATTACCAATCGATCTGAGCAGATTAATATTGTTCAATAAGAATATGAGTAGCCCCAGGTGATAAGGTTTTAGAGAGCATAAACTTTTTGAAATTTGATAGTTTTCCCACTTTATTCAATATTTATTCTTAAGTTGAGAATGAAGTAAAAACTGTTTCATGAGACCTTTGTTGTTGCTCTATTTTCTCTCCACCTTTTAATTTTATCCAGACTAAAATAACTCGATTTTATCTTTGTTTAGGACCTTTCGAGGTTCATATTTTTAGCCAGACATCTTTTATAGTGAATCTGATTGCTTCAAGCTCTTATCAAATAAGCATTTTCACCGTTCAATTCTATTAGGTCTATTTCAATATCGGGATATGTTTGTTTGTTGTGTTAATCATTTTTACTCATTCCTATCAGTAGTGTGTATTTATATTTTTTTTCAGGAATACTGCCATAACTTGTGCCTCGTTGCTAAGCTTTACCTCAAACAGAAGACCGTGCACGAAATCGAACGTGTTCCCGCCTTTCTCTTTTACGTTCTCACTGTGGCAGATGAAGCTGGGTGCCATATTATCGGATACTTTTCAAAGGTGAATTTGTTGTTATTTTAATTTGTTGGGGGGGGGGGGGGCCTATTGATATGAAACTAGTGACTGGGATAATCGATATCAGTGATAAAATTAAAAATTTCTTGATCAATAATTGGCTCTACTTAGCGTAGTCTAATCACGACATTTCCATATATATATGAATAACAAATCTGAGATTGTTTTTCAATCCCTTATCTTGAACTATGGTAACTTGGCCACTGGAAATAGAAAACGCGGATGTCACTTAAATCTGCTCGCAGCATTCTTTCAACGATTTTTGTGTGTCTCCAGTGCATTTTGCCCCATTTCGTTGTCATAATTATGCTCTATTCTATTACTCTTCTTTCCGTCTTCAATGAGAGTACCTCCTAATTTATTGAGCAATAATTCAAAGTTTTTCCGCACTTATTCAAGAGCTTGTTATGTGGTTTAGCCTTGTAGGAATATTTTGTCCCAACATCTGCTCATTTCCACGTCAAAGTCTCTGGTATTGAATCTCGAGGGAAAGGATGTGTATGATCGAAATGTCGATCTTTTCTTTTTACTATTTACCCTTACGTCTAAAATACGTTATTTGTATTTATTTTAGCTTTCGCGCCAGCATAACAAAGAGGGTTTTGGTTGATTGAGAACTGTATAATGGTAGCGGCGATTCATGCGGAGGAATAGGTAATATCTTTTTAGGTCTTTTAGTTTTCAGACAGTATAAGAGCGTTATTTTTGTTTTTTTGCAATTCCTTTCTTCCTTTTTAGCTGTTAGCTTCTCCTGCTCGTTTTATAGCTAACATGACGTGAAGCCCAGCACTCATATTCTTCTGATTTCTAAATCGTCATTTTTACATTTATCGTTCTTTAGAGAAAAGTGTTGTGGGTTAGTTAACTTTCAGATCGCTTCAAAATTTTATCGGACGAAGTGATTCATGTGCTTGGTCGGAGTGATAACTAAATTGGAAATTTTCTTTTTCTCTTAAATCAAAATCCATAAAATCATTTCAGTCGCGAATAAACTAAATACATTCTCGAATGTTGCCTATTGCCATAATCTCGATAAGACAAAGTGGTAAAATTCTCTTTTTACTTGAGGGAAGTAAAATAACCGACGACAGGAAGACGTGGCGTCTAATCTTTAAAGTACATACCGACCTATATATATATATATATATAGTCAAAACTTACTATTCAATATCATTTATAATAAGTTGTGCTCAAATAGTATATATTTGCATTCTTTGTTTCTCGTAGCACAAACCGGAGGAACAAACTCTGCCCAATGTAAAACCCTACAACAATCTTTCCTGCGTTTTGGTGTTGCCCCAATACCAGAGGCAGGGTTTTGGACATATGCTCATTGATTTCAGTAAGTAAAGTCTACCTTTATCCCTGTATTTGCGTTATTTGGTAACTTCAAGTCCTGCAGAGATTCCAATACAGCAGTTAATAGGGTCACGAAAATTTGCAACTTTAAAGGTTTTGTTGTTGCAACGAAGATTTTCTATTTCAGTCGAATTTTGTTCCTCGCGTCTTGTCTTGAAGCTTACCATTGGCTGCCATTCAGTTCCAGAATTTTTTTTACCATTTCTCTCCTCCATACTACTCCTGTTAATACCATTTGAGTTATTAGTTTTGCAGTCGTTGTAACGTTGACGCATTTAAATTGGCTGGCGTCTAAATGGCAAAAATGGCTAACCCATTAAGGTAAGCCAATAAGTAGCCACTATGTTGAATCACAAAGAACTGACGCAACTCACTTCGACACGAAAATACTGTGATCACAAATGTTGTAAATATAGTGGCAATTGTCTCCATTCTATGCTCATGAGATGTTTCACATCGTTAAGTAAATTGCAGTTTCTAACACGGAAATTATCGAAAAGAGATTAATTGGATCTTATCCTGAGGCGTTAACAATTGAAATTGTAAGCAGTGATATTAATATTTCAATTTAATGTCTTATCGGAAATTCACAGAGTTATTTCCACTAAATAATTATAAATTTTAATAAATTTGGCTAGATTTGGAGAGGAATCGATTGGTTGTGTCTGTAATGCAATCAGGTTGTCACAAATTTCAGTTTGCTTTATTTTTTTGAGAGTATTGAATTGGTCACTTTCTTATTGAAGGACGTACTTCACTTTGCAATATTCGAATGTTTTAAAACTCGGGTTTTGTGCTTTGTTCTCATTTTGACACTGCTCTACCATGTTGTAATGCATTTGTATTCGTCTTAGGTTACCTCCTGAGCCGAGTCGAGAATCGACTAGGTACTCCAGAACGGCCACTCTCTGACCAGGGTCTTCTAGTATATCGTCGATATTGGAAGTACATACTCCTCTCATTCATGCTCTCTCATCAGGGAAGAAGCATCTCCTTTGACGGTTAGATTTCGATGCCTTAATCTCTCTGCAAGAATGTGCAAGTTCACTATCTGTTAATTTGCTTCTTTTATACGGTTTTAGATATCAGTGACGCTACTGGAATTGTAACGAAGGATATCATCCAAACTCTTCTTGATATGGGAATGTTCAAGTACCTTAAGTCAAAGTACTACATTGTAAATGATAGAGTAAGTTACTATTTTACTAATGACAATAGGGATAGTTGTTATTGTTATGATTGATGTAGAAATGGTGGATGCTACTTACTCTAATTTGTATTGATTGGCTGCTTTTTGTCCTTTATTCACAAATAATCAGTGTCCATTTAGATCCAGGAATTTGTATTTTCTCTCCGTAAAAAACTCCATAGATCAACGCGTTATCACCTTTTTTTTTTTGGTCCGACTTTCCCGGGCTGTGCTCTTTTGAGGTCGATTAGAGATTTCCAGACATCTGGGGGGGGGGGGGTGTTGGACATAACGCCATTTTTTCAATAAGTAAATTATATATTTGCAATGAGTATTTTTTTGCAACTGCTGTCGTATATTGTTTTGAATTTTTAACTGTGTAGAATACTCAGCGTACAAATCTTAAGCTCACTTTGAGGATCGAAGATTAGGGCTGTTTGGTGTCAGTGTCCGGGGTTAGAATATTTGTATCTGTGGTGGCAAGATGGTCGGATTAGCCTAAAGACATTGTAAGAGTTTAGTTGTGTGTGAGGTGATTGAGAAAGTAGAAGGTAGGGCACCTCCAGTCCTGTAAATAAGCTGCTTTGAGAGGAAGACCAAATCACTCTTTCAAATCGCTCTCTCCCCTTCCCCCACCCCCCAACAAAATGAATAATATCCCTGAAGGCTATCACGACGTTTCGTAGGTTAGAAAGTTAAGGGTTAACAAAGGCAACTAGAAAGAGAAGAAAGTGTAGGAAGTAGAATTGGGTATTAAAAGTGAAATGGAACGCATTTGTACTGAGGTAAGGCAATTCGAGTTGTGAGAATCGGTCGAAAAAAAAAGACGCATGGTGAGGCATTGTTTGGTTTCGTACTTTTTATGAGTCATTAAAATGTACGAACCAATGGGTTATCGGGTGAATGCTATAAGCATGAGACGTGGTCCGTTGACTGCTTGATAAGGTTTGTTATGTAGGCATGCGAAAATTTTATCGGTTAATAATTTTGTTCTATTTTTGAGCTGACTGATAACATGAAGTGAGACACCTTAAAAAAAGTCACTCGCTTTAAAAAAATCGAAAATGTAATTTTAATTGGTTTAGTGACATACTCACCCCACACTCTTTACGGTTGGATCCTAAGTAATTTCGCTTTTTGCAAGAAGCATCATTAAATTCTATACCTCAATCTCTTTTCTAACGACTTTGACCCCTTTGTTCAGGAGAAGATAGAACAAATCCTCTCTCAAATTGGTCAGCCTAAACCCGATCGATTAATTGATCCCCAATGTCTTTGTTGGATCACTGCTGCAGCTCCTATCTCCAAAGACCCTACCGATTTCGAACAACCCTCGCCGAGTATTATTGGATCTCCCTAAGCAAGAAATAATATTTTTTATATAACTCATTCTACCCATATAATCAATTACTATTTTTGTATCACCGTATGTCGAACATTTTTATCCCAATTATATGCATTTCGCCTGATGTAGTCAACTGCTTTGCTGCTTGGGATTGGGGGGGGGGGGGGGGTGCGAATGACACGACCATAATTATTTCAAATGGTAGGCTTTATGATAGTTTTATCATAAGTCCCTTAGTAGACTTTGGCTTTCACGATGGGATGGAGGATTTAGGACAGTTAACAGTAGTTCATTAGTTGACTTCTGACTTCCCAGCATCTCTGTCCGATAAGCAGTCTGAACTCAGCAACGGCTTCGATTCTTGGCCAGCCGGCTATGTCGGATAGTACCACTCTCCATTGTTTCTTTTTTGTACGAGCTTAGTACCACTCTCCATTGTTTCTTTTTTGTTGAGGCTCCAGGTTCGTTGCACCTTGAGGTCTTGAATTCTCTCCTGATTATGGTCTTCATTGTGTGGAAAGACATCGGCCAGTCTGTGACCTACAAAATTGTAGTCCCCTTCTTAGCAAGTGTGTCAGCACACTCATTACCTATAATGCCACAGTGTCCAGGCATCCATTGAAGAACTACTTTTTTCTTTCAGTCACTGATGCATTATTTTAGATTCGTATATCTCGGCTGTTTTGGGTGGTTCCGTGCTTCCAATTGCATTTATTGCTGACTGCGAGTCTGATAGAATTACTGCCTTGGTGAATTTCGTATGCAGACAACATTTGAAGATTGTTAGGGCTTTAAACTAAAAGGGAGAGAATGGGTTATTTCTTTTTTTGCCAAGAAAGATATGCACCTGTTCTCTTCTTGTTTTACAGATTCGAATCAATTCAGAATAGACATACGAAGAAGACATCTGAAAGTTTAACTGATAAAGGTTGGATTATTGCTGAAGTTCATGCTCAAATGTGTGTATGGCATTTCACTTTTCTTCAAGCTATACATTCTTTCTGGAAATCTTTATTACAACGAAATAATAGAGGAATCAACCAATTGAAATGGTATTACCCAATGCCCAATAAATATCCAACAAATACTGCCATTTTTTCCTATTAATAACTTTATTTAGTATATTTGCTAGTCTATCGAAAGTGGGAAGTGTATCGACCAAATCCTTCAATTTAATCGACTCTAAATTCTACGGTCATGAATGACCACTTGGGTAACCTGTGAATTGAATATTGGTGATCTTTTTATGGTACAAAGAACCTCATCTACAAAGTAAAGTACAGGATTAGTGAAAGTACGGCTTTTTAGTAACTATGCACTGGGGTGTATCTATCCGTTGAATATTTATTTATTTCAAATGGCTGGTTTTAGGATATTTATCATTAGCCCTTAAACTTTGACTTCAGCTTCCCCCAAGGGTGGGGAAGGTACATTTATAGCAGTTAATTAATAGCAATTCATTAGCTGTCTTCTTGCTTCCCAGTATCTCTGGCTTTCCGTCGTTGTCTTTTGGACTGGACACCGAATCAGGTGGGTCTTCTCCATTTCCTCCTGTAGGTTACATAGGGGGCATGTAGGTTGAGTGTATACTCCCAATCTGTGAAGGTGTTTTGCCAAGCAATCGTGTCCGGTACGTAGTCTAAACTCAACAACGGCTTCGATTCTTGGCCAGTCGGCTATGTCGGAGAGTGCCACTGTCCACTATTTCTCCTTTGTTCGAGCTTTAATTTCGTTGCACCTTGAGGTCTGGAATTCCCTTCTGATTAAGGCCTTCATTGTGTGGAAAGACATCGGCCGGTCCATGCATTGCAAAATCGTTGTCCCCATCTTACCAAGTGTGTCAGCAAGCTCACTGCCTTTAATGCCACAGTGACCAGGAATCCATTGTAGGACCACTGTTTTGTTTTTCTCTCTCAGCAGCTGATAGAGTTTATCCGTTGAATATTTATTTATTTCAAATTGCAGCCGTTTCAATAGTTATCACCACCCCTTTAGCTGATTTCGGGCTTTATAGAGGAGAGAAACATCGAAGTGAGAAAAATTCGAGAGGGGGAACAGAAGAGTTATTCACAGATGTAAAAGAGACAGACAGACATAAAGGCAGAGAGAAGGTAATATGAGTACTGTAGAAGTGGTCGAATATGGCATACCAGTCGGGTCATGGTAGTTTGAGGTCGGAAGTCAACTGCCGGTTTTTAGACATTTTTGTCGTAGGAGTATATTTTGTCCAGGATGCACCCCGTGGAGGTAAGTCTATCGCACAGCCCATCCGTTGACTCATAATTTTGCGCCCTAATTGACGCCTAATGATTCTATTACTTTCCTATCAATTTACAAAAGACACGAAATTAGGAAACTACCTTTGCAAATCTTAATAATAATCTGGATTCCAAGCGCTCAGTTTAGACGCTTATCCCTTTCAAAATTCGTACTGGTTTTCTCCCATCTCTTTTCCAATGTTTTCGTGAACCTTCTAATTTGGGGAAAACTGCGGCTTCCTCATTAGTCTTTAGGAATAGCAGGGGCCTTGCAAGGCAACAAAAAAGTTTGATTTGACTAGGTGCTTTAGATGCCTAGTTTGTCAAGAAATTTCATGTTAAATTCAAAACAATCGACTTCAATAGAGAGTTTTAAAGAGTTTAAAATGTTCGGGCAAAAATTTAAAGATTTAATTATTCTTAATTAACATTGTCATATTCAATCAGCCGCTTGATCAATCGAAGCATTCAAAATATCGATTTTCTCCCAGATGTGGATTCTGTTTTATCTTCGCAATTATCCAAAAGATTGTAACCCACTTAATAATTTTAATTAGGATAAGAAAATGCAAGAAAATTATGCCTTTAATGTGAGTCTTTCGAACATTGGATAATTTTCATAGCAAACATTTGAGATATGAATTTCATTCCATTTTAAAAGTGCATTAATATTTTGGCCATAAAAAACCACATGATTTGCGATCGTGTCGTGTGCGCAGAAGCCTTATCAGCTAAACAATAATTAATATTCTTTCAAATTAAATCAATGTATTACTGATCACGATTTTTTGCTATTCATTATAGATTCAATAAACACGCTTCCTCTCCATACGTTTGGTGTTTACAAGGCCTTGACCATAATCTCTCTAGCCGTGGGAACAAGAACTTGGATCAGGGAACTCGATTTAAGAGAGGATTACTGATGTTTCGTGATGGGCTTCTTTCGGTTGAATCCCCTACAAAATAGGTGGCTAGGTCCAATAATGGCAAATAAGACATCACAAGGTTAACTTTCTTTCCCAATTCTGGAAGTCCTATTTTGACCAGCTGCAAATAGGGAGGGGGAGGGGAGGGGAGGGTGAAGAATTAATTTCGTGCTGTTCTTTCCGTGTTATCTTCATCTTCCACACTTTCAACGCAGATTATAGCCATGGCAATAAAAGAGCTTTTTGGGCCGGTTGAACTAGTTCCGTGGTTGGTCGTGGCGGCTCGATTAATTAACATCTTGATAAGAATAACAGCAATTTGCTTAACAGAGCGTAGTCAAACGGATATTACTACCTTCATTTCTAGTTCTTATCACAATCATGGGAACGCATATCGGCATTAATAAATGTCCAATTCGCAGTCAAGAAAAATGGGTACTCTTTGAAAATGTGTCAGCATATGCCTTAATGAAACGTTGGATTTGTTCTAAATATAGGAGTTCAAAGCCTAAAGTTCGAATTTAAACTTGGTTTCAGTGGCTTAACTCCCCACGTATGTCGGCTAAACACGATGCCAACGCGTAGATGAGGGTGATAAAATTATGCATTCTTTGAAATTGCGCAATTTCACTTTATTTTGATACTAGGCCACTTAGTGACGGATCATAAACTAAGCGACCTTGAAGATATCACATATTCAAAATCATATTCATGAAACTCGGTGCCATTGACTTTGAGTGCCTTGGAAGCCATTCTCCACTGGAAATGAACTCCTCAAGTATCCTGAGAATTTTGAGGATAAATTAACACCAGTGAGACATGGCTTGCCTCCCCCCCACCCCTACCCCTCCTCCTTTGATCAAATCGTAATTAAAACGTGAATATTGACCACTCTAATTCTGATGACGCCAGCTTAATCAAAAATGTTTTTTTTTTCTCGTTGGGGAATCAGGAAAGTAGCTCAATTAAGGGGAAAGAACTAACGCTGCAATAAAATAAGGATTGCCTCGGTAAAAATCCGATTTCATCAAGTTTTCCCCTTTTAACTTTGTCGAATATTTATTCATATCAAATGGCAGGCGTCTTGATGGCTATCATTATCCTTTTAGCTGACTTCAGGCTTCACAGAGGGGAAGGAACATCAAATTGAAAAAAAGTCGAGAGTGGGGGGGGGGAACAGAAGAGTGTTTCAAAGATGTAAGAGACAAACACAAAGGTAGATGAAAGGTGAGGTGATTACTGTGGAAATAGTCGAATATGGCATAGAGTAAGGTGATGATAGTTAGAAGTGAGAAGTCAACTGCCAGTTAGTAGACTTTTTTGCCGTATGAATATACGTTGTCCAGGTTGCACCACGTGGAGGTAAGTCTATCGCACACCCCACTTTGTCGGATATAATGCACTGTGTCATGTAGCAGTGTTTCTTATCGTTGGTGCCATGATTAACCCTCACGACTTATGATTGCGCTTGCGTTCCAAGTTTCCGTGGCATTTGGATAAATATTTCCTTTTTAAGGGTAAGTTCAGGTTGGTCATACCAATTAAGATCATTTACTATTAATACACTACACTAATGACTTAAAAGCTGTTATAGCGTTTAATGTTTAAGCTATTCTAAGTCTTTAACCGCTGTTTGCAATAAGTGTTTTGAGTGCATGCATTGCAAAATGGCGAGATTAATAAGCATAGCCGCCATCGACAATACTCAAATCATTATAATTAGCTACTGCGGGGTTTACGATAGACTTACCTCTACCCTGGGCAACGCATACCCATGTTGCAAAAGTCTATTAACCGGCAGTTGACTTCAAAATTCCATGACCCAGAGGTT